CAACTAGAAATTATACAAAGACAACAATTAGAAATCCAAAAGATAAACAACAAGATTTCAGAAATGGACGGTGTCAATACTTTGTCTGTTTTGCATAACCTTCACGTACAATTTAATCACAGCCTTTGTTCAAAGAGTTTTAAATTCTTGAACTATATTGCTAGTGACAGAAAATCATCTTAAATTTTTGTATTAAAATGTTCTGAGACATTGGTTCAAAATTATTTATGTGTATGTATTATAGTCTGTTAAATCAACAGTACTGAGGTGATTAAGCTGGCAGGTTTAAAAGATGACTTGCCAAACTAAGGTAATAGGGTATTACAAAAATAAGAAATATAAATCTCAAATTATATATTATAAGCTATTCCCACTGGTATTTGAAAATAAAAGACTTCCTCTGGATAGTAGGCAATTGGGTTATGGAATGTTATATTGTCCAACAGAACTATGCAACTGGTTCTACTCTTGTTTCCTTTAATTCTAAGACAATCTCAGAGCCAAGAAACAATTGCAAAAAGCAGCAAAAACCTCCCTAGCTGATCAGGAAAGATCAAAGGCCTAAGTAATGAAAGTGACTGCTTTAGTTTAATGGTCTGAACAGCAAAGAGGGAGGAGATCTGCCCAGAAATGAGGGATACAATCAACAGGCATTCTGCATCCAAGACTGAAAATGGGGAGCCAAGATAAGCAAGCCCCAGAAACATGGAATTCAGGATGAGTTGGGTCCACCTTAGTTACTGTTTGTGTATAAGACCAGATAGTAAGAAAGAAGAGATAATGAGAGAGCCTAATTGGACTTAGAGATCCACATTTTTTTAAGTTTTCTCTAGGCTAGTCCATCCTACTTGATGACATTAAGTTCAGCCATTTTGATATTTACATCTCTAATAACTAAGCCTAAACTAAGATTAAAGTCTAAAATTCAAGTCAATGTGGCCTTCGTGGCAGGTATCTTCATCTTCTAGCAGGAATATACCTGAATTTCAGAATAATTGACACTACAGATCAGTTTCAGGATCTGAAAGACTAAAGTGATGAAGTGATGACAAGTATCACATTATATATAATTCGCAGTTATCTATATACACTATCAACCTTAACTGGTATACTTCCTAGTCCCTAAACCAAGTCCTGAACCAGTTACCAATACCATTCAAAGTTAAACAAAACTCCCAAAGAGCTGAACTCCACATCTGAGGTTTTTAATGATCACTTTGTAAGCATGTTCACAAATACGGCAACTACTTAACTTCCTAACTGGAAAATACCTTCCCCTTTGTAGCCCATTAAGGATCTGTGATCTTTTTATTAGCACCATATTACTAAGTAATACTAAATAGTAATACTAAGTATGTTGTTAGCCGACATCGAATCGGCCCCCAACTCATGGTAATCCCGTGCGACAACGGAACCAAAGGCTGCCCAGTCGTGCACCATTCTCATGATCTGTTGCAGATTGGACTGCTGTGATCCAGAGTGTTAAATGGCTAGTTTTCAGAAGATCACTAGGCCTTTCTTCCTAGTCTTAGTCTGGAAACCCCACCGAAACCTGTTCAACATCATAGCAACATGCAAAGGTCCACTGACAGATGGGTGGTGGCTGCATGTGAGATGCACTGGCTGAGAACTGAACTCGGGTCTCCTGCATAAAAGGCAAGAACTCCATCTAACATAGTAATGTAAAGCATTTAGAGACATCAGTACAATTAGCTCTAAGTGAATAGTTAAAATTAAAAAAAGGAAGCTGTCAGATCCTGACTTATCGTGTCTGTTTAAAACCGTTAGCCATTCTTTCAGAACACTTGAATGTCCCTGTGAACCTTTTCTTGAAAAAAGCTACATATTCCCTAATCCCCACTGCAGAACAGACCAATCCCCCATTCCTGTGCTCCTACAGCACACTGTCTGTCCCTCTTATATAACACTAGTCACACAGTACTGTTGTTATTTACTAAGACATATACATCCCCCACTGGACATGAGCTTCGTAACAGCAAAGGATCTTGGTGCTAAGCATATAGACATTCAAATTTGCCAGGTCAATAAAATCCTAGTTAAATAAATACGTGAAGACAAAGAAAGTATGCTTGGGAGGTAGGGTATAGTTTTGTTGTGAGTTCATTTGGGGGAGGGGTGAATTTAAAATATCCACGTGGAGATAATTTGTGATTAAGTCATAATCTGACCATAAAGTTTTACCCAGTTATGTAGTTTAGCCAGAATTCCATTAACAGCATGTATACATGTAATCTATCCTTGCAGACACAAAACCTATCCTTGCAGGGATCCTAAATGACAATTTTCAAATTTCCAATTTCCTCCACCAGAAACTCCCATTTATTTTCATAGAACACATTGCCTCTATCCACCCCTGACCCATGACACCCAATTAGAGGAGTGTTGACCACAGTTATCAACTATTTTACTTCTTACTGGGAGGTGCCTGGAGCCCTACTATGATTCCAAGACCACCCACCTCCACCAGGAAACCAGGCAGATGTGCAAGAAAGAGGCATAAGAAATGATTTCTGTTAAACAGTAACCAGCACTTGAAACATTTAAACACAGAATCAATGGTAAGCAGTTCTTGTATCCTTCTTTATAACACTGTTTATATTACAAAATGTTCTGAATTCTAAATAACAACCTTAAAAAGTAAACTTGCAGGACTCTAATTCCTATGATGAAGACTACCTATGGCAGTATCTGGAGTACCATGAAGCAACTGATTTGCTAACAACTATCAACACTTCAAATCAATTCTCATGTGATAAGGCAGAATGTAAATCTGTCAAATGCAATAACTATACAAAGTTTCCACTGAAATTCTATGAAAATATACACATGTACTCCAGTCCCCATCCACTCTCCCTAACCTAGAAATTAACTTTAGATATTATTAGATCTCATTTGGAGAAGACTTACTGAAGGAGAAAAAAAGGTCTGCCACAAGGTAGGTCATTAATATGCTGCATATATACAATTTGGAATAAACACCCCTTTGCCGGCAAGTTGATTCCAACTCACAGCCGGCAAGTTGATTCCGACTCTACTCACTCCTAACGGACAGAGTAGAATTGCCCCATAGGGTTTCCAAGCAGCACCTGGTGGATTCAAACTGCCGACCTTTTGGTTAGCAGCCTAGCTCTTAACCACTAGGCCACCAGAGTTTCCATGATTTGGTATAGCCTCCGAAAACGTCTCCAATGTGCACAAGGCAGTTGGAAGGGAGGAGGGCCGGAGAGAAGTCTGCAATTGATCTAGTCCTTAAGCAGCTGACTAATACACTTAGGCACTGAGGATCTTCAACTGGTGACTACTGCGGCACTGGCAGAACTCCTGCCAAAAGCAGGCTTCTCCCATGAACAGATAAGGCAAATAGGGTCGTTCTTCTCCCGCACATAATTTTTAAGAGAGAAAAAGTTTCAAAAAATGGTAACTCTTGGTCTATCACAGTGCAGAACAAGTCCCTTTTGGTTTAACAGTATAACATAAATGGGTAAGTACATACTTGAGCATATACTTAGGTATATGCTCAAGAATGTTCTTAGGAATGGTGTTCAGACTATATTATAAACAGTACTATGGAAGTCTGTTTAACTATCAACACTGTCTACTCTGAAAAGCTATTTCCATTCTGAAAATGTGTAAAGCTATTCATTCAAATCCAATAGATAATCTTTTATAAAGCCGAAATTTTTCAAATTGTTACTCCCGTGTAAATCTTAACTTTCAAACAAAAAATATAAATAAGAGTTTCGACCAGTCTGTTTCAAGTACTTAAGAACCTTAAAGTTTTTCCCCCTACTAAAAACATTTGTATCACAAAGTACTAATAAACACAGATAATGCCAACTGACTTGTTTTCCTAAACCTCCCATTTTTTCCAACTGCCCTATTTCTGTGGTTATTCTAGAGTCTAACAGCCTAACAACTAAATACTCCAACAGTGAAACAGTCCTAATTCATTAATATCTTAATATAGATCAAGTGTTGTCCTCAGTACCTGCATAAAACAAGTAAAGCCTAGAAACCATAGCTGCCTTCCAACAGATCCATGCCATGGCCTAATGCCAAAAATATTTCCCACTCTAAAATCCAAGCCTCATTAATTAAAAGGTTTAGTAATTGCTAAGCACTACTTGTTGAGAAATGAAAAATTTATACAACAGAAAATGTCAAAGCTTCAGTTTCATATACTATATGTTATATTACACTTCTTTTCTCTTCTAAATCTCTCCAAAGCCTATGACTCCTTAATCACCAACTATGTACTTTGAAATCTGACTTTGGGGACAAATGGAGCTGTACTGTAGGTCTTTATTATCTGTGCAATATCCAAATATGATTTAGAATGGGAAACATTACCATATTGATTTACATATGGCCATGTAAAACGAATAAAAAGATACACCAAATTGTGCAGTAGGGATAGAAAGATGCTTATCTTCTAAATTAAAGAAATTTACACTTGTCTTCTACAGGGGAAATATGAGAAGGGGGTGGGGACCAGAAAAAAGTGAATCTACAACTTAAAACTTCTGGAAACGTACTAGTCTCAAAAGTACAGCTTTCAAGGTCACTTATTTTTAGGAAATAATTGCTCTTGAACAGTGAACAAATTTCTAGGCCAGACACTGAAAGCAAAATGGAATTTTAGTCTAATAAGCAACAACAGCTATAATATGGGTTGCAGTTCGTCATTCCCATATTAGGCTGATGACTTTAAGCCAAGGAATACGGTCCCTTTTCCAGGTCTGCAAATTCTTGCCTCTTGCTATTTCTGCATATTCTAATTAACTGAACGTCACCAGGAAGATATTAATGATGGTTGGGGCACTCAAGAGACACAACCTCAAAACTCAAAACTGTTCACAATCTACTAAAAGAGACCTATTTGATTCAATAGGCGAGGGGACGAGCAGGGAGGGGAAGGGGCGGGCACGGCGTGAAAAGCTGCTGGCCAGAGCAGACGCGACCAGTTTTCAGACACTTACTGGTTTACTAGGGTACACGTTAGATAGATGCGTTTTTAGTTTCCCCACGGTCCAGTTTAAGAAGCAGCTAATAGTCTGGTCACTGTATTTCTGATTCGGTGCTTTTATGATGAGGGTCACAGGAATCTCCATCCCACTTTGGTCCATGGTGCCCCCAAAGTCGGGCAAAGTCAAGGGAAGCAGCAGTTAAATGCAAGTGACCCGAAGTGGTTTGTTGCTGCCTGCGCCACTGGGGTGGGCAACGGAAGTGAGTTCTTAGTATTTCGTGTCCAAGTCAGTCACAAGTGCATCGGGCGACACGAAGGCCATTGCCGGTACCAAGGCTGGACAGAGGCAGAGACAGCGACGGCGGCGGGGTCTGTGGGCCGGGTCGTGGGTGCAGCGTTCCCCGCCAGGTCCGGGCTCTCCCTGGCTCCGGACTAGGGAGGGAGGCGGGGGAAAGAAAGAGAGAGAAAGCGGTGAGTAGGGAAGGCGGGGTGGGGGTGCTACGGCCAGAATCACCCCTCCGCCCTCGCTGCGACCCCCAAGCTGAAACGCAACAAGGCCCCTAGGCGACGGCCCCGCCGCGCGGGCCGGAGAAAGGACCGGGCCGCCAGCCGGAGGAAGGGTACCTGGCTGGAGGTCGCAGGGCCCGCCACTGCCTCCCTCTGCGCCTGGGAGGGCCGCCGCACCTACAGTTCGGCCGCGCGTCCTCCGCGACGGCCGCTCCCTTCCTGCTGTTCGTAGGCGGCCACGGCCCAGCTCCGGGTCTCGCGAGGCTGCGCGGGTGGAAGTAGGGAGAAGTTGACCAAAGGGCGCGGCCCCACTCTCTGCCTGACCCTTCGGGCTGGGCTGGGCAGGGCAGGGCAGGGCCGAGCCGGGCCGGGCGCGAAGGAGGCAGCTGCAGGTGGCAAGAGGGCGGGGACGAGAGCCGCGGTGTCGGCCACCCGCGCTGATTTTGTTGTTGTGTGGAGGGCCCGGGTCCCCTTTCAGCCGGAAGGCGCAGGGCGGAAGTGCGTCACGCGCGGCACGCCCAGGCGCGTGGCCCTCCTGGCCCCGCCTTCGCCTGCGGTGTCCTGGACGCTTTGGGTTTCACGAGACTGAGCTCCCCGAGGCAGAGAGGTTAGGCACTTAGGAGTCCCGGTGACTGACCTTTCGTTCGTCCCCGGCCCCCAGGAGCTAACATTACCCTGTCATGACCACACTCATCTCCATCTTGAGATTTCTCTCTGAAAAAGTAAATGTCCCTCCCGATCCTTAAAGTTCTAATCCTTCATTTTGACATTAACCAAAATTTCCTGAGTGTGGACTGTTGGCAAAGCACAGGGCCAGGAGAGACTGCAGGGTACGTCGAATAAAGAGCAAAGGCTTTCAAAGTTAAACTTAAAGCCTACCTCAAGTGGCTGCGTGAGGGTAGTTAACCTTTCTGAGCCTCAGTTTACTTCTCTAAATAGGGACGGTAATGCCTACCTAAGCGCTTGCTGATGAATAAATGAGTTAGGTGTGTATGTAAACCATCTGGTACGTTCTGGCGTATGGCAGACTCAAATGTTAGTTTTCATCTCTTTCCTCTTAATTGTCACAAAAGTTGTTAAGTGTTTATTGAGCACCTACTGTATGTTTAGTACCGTGGCAGACTGAGAGGGATGACAGAGTTATCTTTCTGCTTTATAGCTTAGACATAAGAACACAAAGGTTAAGTCCACTGCCCAAAGTTGGCTTAGGGGGTTTATGAGTCCAGTGCTGTAAATTACCATCAACTGTCTGTCAGTTTGTCATACTGTCGTGGCTTTCGTGTTGCTAAGATGCTGGAAATTATGACGCCGATATTTCAAATACCAGCAGGGTCACCCACGGTGGACAGGTTTCAGTGGAGCTTCCAGACTAAAATAGACCAGGAAGAAAGGCCTGGGATCTACTTCCAAAAATTACGCAATGAAAATCTTATGGATCACAACAGAACATTGTCTTACTTGCTTTCTTTGGACACATCATCAAGAGGGATCTTTGGACACATCATCAAGAGGGATCAGTTGCTGAAGGAGGACATCATATTTGATGAAGTAGAGGGCCATCAACGGTGTGAGAGACCCTCAGTGAGATGGATTGGCACAGTAGCGACAATGGACTGGAATATGCTGGCGGTTGTGAGGATGACATAGGACTAGGCAACCTTGCCTTCTGTTGTACATCAGCTTGCCAAGAATGGAGTCCACTCAAAGGCAGCTAACAACAATTGTAAGTTAAAGTTTGTTGGATGTGCATTTTCATAGCTCCAGGCTTCCGCTTACAGGAGAATGCAAGCATAATATAGGGAGCTTTGGGGAGCTGGTCTCTTTCCCTCTCAGCTTCAGAAGGATTTAAAGCTACTACTGGATTAGCGACCAAGGGAAAGTTGTTCTTTCGACAGCTAATGCAGCAGGATCCTTTACACCCTCCCCTCCCTCACCTGGTTCTTTATGGTAGGACACTGAACCTTAGCTATACCCTGTAACTTGCTCTTCTGAAATAAAGAGTCAAGTTCCCTTTATTTCTAGCCATAGATGACAATAGATTGCTCTGACTCAGGTTTTCTGTGACTGACTTTGATCCTTGCTTCCCAGTATATATTCATCCCTAATTTCTTACTAACAGAACCTTAATGTAGTTCCAGCTAAAATTACTTTTTCAGACTCCCTTGCCTCTAGGGGCAACCTTTTGACACAGTTCTAACTAATGAGGTGAAAGCTGAAGTTGCTACCCCGGATTTCCAGGAAAGCTTTTAAGATGGACAGGCTCTACTCACCAGAACTCATCATTGCCCTACACCTGTCTTCCTTCTGGAAGTTCAACTGCCATAGTTCAGTGGTGAAGCAACAAACAGGAGGACAAAGGCCTATATGCCAAGGATGACAGAGCAGAAAAAGTGAAAGAGACTATGTCCTTGATGGCATCATTGTGCCACCACACAAGCCCTAGGCTGTCTATCTTAAGACCTCTTGTTTTTTTGAGACAAATTTCTGTTTAAGTCTGGAAGTCTTAACTTCAGCTACCACAACCACCACCACCCATTCCTGCAGCTCTTGTCATTTATGATTGTGACTCAGACTTTCAGGACTCCTTTAGAGGTAATGTGGCCATCTCACTTGGTGCTATGACATGTATATTATTAATATTAAACATGATGTGCATTTCATTGTGATAAGCACTACCTAAAGAGGGTCCCTCAAAGGTTCACTAGCATGGACAAAAACATTTTAAAATGTATGAGTATTCAAGAAATTGTGAGTATAAACATAATTTGGTATTAGACAAAAATGATACCTTTCTAACTTCACAGCCTCCTGAATTAAGTAAACCCTGTTGCCATCGAGTCGATTCTGACTCATAGCAACCTTATAGGACAGAGTAGAGCTGACCCATACGATTTCCATAAAGCGGCTGGTGGATTTGAACTGTCGACCTTTTGGTTAACAGCAGAGTTCTTAACCAGTGCATCACCAGGGCTCCCCACTGAATTAAGTAGTTACCTAAAAATCCCTTTGATGCTGTTGAACTTGACCACAATAAAAACTATGTGTAAACATGATGCCATTTTTGTTAAATTATGTATATATATAGAACAATGTATGAAAGGGTGGTTCTCAGAATACTGATGGTGTTTGAAGCTACTGTGAGCATCAACCTGCCTGTTTAAATCACTATACATGTTGCAGATAAGAACTGAAAGTGTGAAGGAACAATCGCACATCTCAGCTATTATTTGTTACTTAAAGACAGCCCCTAATGAAAATGCTTAAGAGTACAATGCTAATAAGGGATCTGTGATTAATCCAATTTATATTTCTTTTTTATTGAGGTGAAATTATACACAGCCAAACGTACACCAATTCAACAATTTCTACATGTATCACTCAGTGACATTCATTATGTTCTTAAAGTTGTGCAACCATTCTCGCTATCCTTTTCCAAGTTATTCCAGCATCGTTAACATAAACTCAATGCCCCCTAAGCAAAAACACCCCCTTTCTCCCTCCTTCTTACCTCCGGTAACCACTAATAATCTTTGGTTTCTATGTATTTGCTTATTTCATATAAGTGAGATTATACGGTATTTTTCCTTTTGCAGCTACTTTGCTCAGCATAATGTTTTCAGGGTTCGTCCATGTTGTGGCATGTATCAGGACTTCACTTCTCTTTATGGCTGAGTAATATTCCCATTGTATGTATATACCACATTTGTTTATCCATTCGTCTCTCGATGGACATTTCAGTTGTTTCCACCTTTTGGCTACGTGAATAGTGCTACAATGAAAATTGGTGTACGTGTCTGTTCGTCGCTGCTTTCAGGTCTTTTGGGTATATACTTAAGAGTGGAATAGCTGGCTCATATGGTAGTTCTATGTTCAACTCTGTGAGGAGCCACCAAACTATTTTCCACAGTGGCTGTACCATTTTACATTCCCACTAGCAATGGATGAGGGTTCCTTTTTCTCCACAACCTTACCAACACCTATTGTTTTGGGTTTTTACCATTGTCATTCTAAGGGGAGTGAGATGGTATCTCTCTTGTGGTTTTACTTTGCATCTCTCTAATAGCTAATGATCCTAGACAGTTAAGCATCTTTTCATGGCTTATTGGCCATTTGAATATCCTCTTTGATAAAATGTTCAAGTCCTTTGCCCATTTTTTGATAGAATTGTTTGTCTTTTTGTTAAGTTGTATATGTATTTTACATATTTTGGATACTAGACCCTTATTGGATATATGGTTCTCAAAAAATTTCTCCCAATCTGTAGGTTGTCTTTTCACTTTTTTGATAAACTCCTTTGATGAACAAAAGTATTTAATTTTATGAGGTCTCATTTATCTATTTTGTCTTTTGTTGCTTGTGCTTTTGTTGTCATATAATTAATCCTATGTATTAGTGGTAATAAATCTACTGTGACAATATTAACTATATAAACTATTCAGTACACGTAATCTTAGTAGCTAGTTCAGTAGTTGAGGGTGATTTATGCCCACTGGGTAACTTTGTTGTCAACAAAGTAGAATTTAAATTTAAATAAAATTATTTGTAAATAATAAAATCGATTCCAGTATTTGTGGGATGTGAGTTTACTTCTAATTCTTTTCATCTTTGGTGTGGGAAGGAGGACAAAGAAGCATGTATTGATTTATTCTGTGAGATACCAATTTGTTTTAAAAATTCAAAGAAAATAAAGTGGTTTTTTACTGGGCTTTTCTTACTGAAATTTGGAATACCTTCCAGTAAGGTAAAATATTATTATGATGCTGGATAATACATTTTGGTTGTTGTTGGGTTATTTTTGTTTGTTTTTTAAATAGCTCTCTTGGGAGGAAAGACTTTAGTCAAGTAATAATCTTGCAGTTGCAAATTTCAAAGATGATGGTGGCCATCTGGCTTCTGATTCTTTCCATTTCCCCATTCCCCATCCTTGTCGTTTTTTTAAAGATCTTGTGCCACAAAGCACCTAATCAAATCTTAATCAAGTTCATTATTTTTTTTTTTTTAATGAAATCCTACACTTGAAGCCTAGGAACATTAGTTCTTTTCACCACTGCACTTTCAAAATCTTAATTGGTCCCAGATGTTTGATTATAAATATTCTTGCAGAAACTGGAAGGAAGAAAACCAACACGTGTTAAATGCCCAGTGGGGATTAACTGGGTGTTTTAGTCATGTGTTATCTAATGAATTCTCAGAACAGCCCTAAGAGGTAATGAGGATATTAAAGCTCAGAAACGGTGTGCTAGCAAAAATACAAATATAGAGGCATATGGAGCAGGCTGTCAATAAAGGGTTAACATGAACCACTCTTGAGCAAACAAGGGAGGGGATGAAGGAGAAATGGTTGTTCTGCTAAAAATACGTACAAAGAATGTTCCAGGAAGCATGTAAG